TTCAGAGCCTGAAGAACAGTAACGAAACTCCCAGCAGACAATGAGAGATGGAAACAATTATTTTCTCATTTTTCAATGGAATTTGGGGAGACTTCAAAAAATCCTATGCAAGTTTCCAGTAGGAGATACGATGATATATAATATATTTCATTCAAAGTTACAGATTTGTTGACCAATGCAATCTTTCCAAGTTATTGATGAAAAAACAGGTTAAGCAGAAGCAAATTGCAAGTTGCCAAAAACATAAGAACTATGCTCCTCACATACTGGGCATGATTTTGAGAAGAGCTAAATAACTGCAAAAAAAATCAATCACATGCTGTTCAAAATAAAAGCTTTTATTTTATGAAAAAGTTAAGCACTTAAACTGTAAATTAAAATCAAGAGAATCATCTAGGTCACTTCAATTTCACTCCCACAAAACGCTTCTGAAATCTGCCTTTCAAAACATTGAACCCTTACAGCTGTATCTCAGTTAAGCTTTATAATCAGTGTTATTTTAAAAGATGATCTCAGAAGTCTGGATTTCTTGCAGACCTGTTGCTGAAATAATTCTCTTATTTTTAAACCAAATCAGTATATTCAAAGTCAATGTGTTTTACCAATAAAGGTGCAACATGAAGTCCTGTGAATTATGGACTGCAGGGCTGACCTTGTAAGAAATAAGCAGTCTTAAAAAACAGGCCTCTAAGACAAAGAAGGCAGAAGCATGGATTTATAAACAGAAGACTATGGATGTGTAATATGATTACATAACAAAAATCTAATTTAAAGAATGGAGAAAATAAAAGTCCCCAGGCAAAAGATACATGAAAGTAAGCAGAAAGGAAGTAAAGGAGAAGAGAGCACTGTCCCTAAACAGTATTTCAAATAACTTTAGAGTGGTTTTAAATAATATTTTAATGTATAGGATAGGTTTTTGGAATCTTTTATTTATTCTGCTCATTTCCCCAGCCATTCACTGTGAAGACAATGTGGAATTATATTTCTCCTTCCTTCATATCTTGATGAAGTAAACAGTCCCATCTATTTTTCCAGTTCTGAAAGCAATTACATGATTGCAATTACTGAAGACTGCATTCTAAGACAACAAACTCAGACATGAAACTGCTCTTGCTAGGTAATCAATCCCCAAATTTAGACTGTACTCGTATTTAACCTACACAAGCACTCCAATTGCTAGGGTACATAAAAGTATTCCAGGAGACTTATGCTCTGGAGAAACAAGAGAATATTTTTCATATAAGTATCAAACAAAATCAAAGCATGTAGGAATAATCATGAATATCTCTGCTTATTTGTTGCCCTTTTTTTCTAAATTACACTTTTAAATGTGCATTGGAATTGTGAAAAAAAATACAGTGGAAAAGAACAGAAATAAATAATAAAGGTATGAAAAATACTGATTAAAGAGAGGAAACACAGACTTTTAAACTAAATGCAGTAAGTAGTGTACAGAATTGGCTTACTAGCAGTACTTCAGATTCTACTGTATTAGTTAATCTTACCTTCAAATGACTCCCTATAGAGGACAATATTCGGATGTTTCATGTTAGCCAATACAGCAACTTCTCTCCTTGATTCTTCTCTCTCCTTATTTGACATCTTCAAAAGGAAAATAATGATTTTTGAGAACAGAAATACAAAAAGAATGGATCAGGAATGAATAATAATAACTCACCTTAGAGATATTTATTTCTTTAATAACATACTGTTGGCCATTTTCTTTAGCTTTGACAAGTATTGCTTTCCCAAAGGATCCTTCTCCAATCTTCCGTACTTTAATATATTTATCCATAGTTATCTTCTTAAGGCATGCTTGCTTGAGTACTAGGCAAAAAAAAACCCACAAAAAAACCACAACCCAGATTTAGTTAGGTGTAATTAGTCATTTAGCCTGACAGGTCAGGCTACATTTTTTTTAATCAAAACGTTAATCCATTTGTCTCTTCAGTTGTTTTTGTGGAAATCAACTACTCTTAGTCTCAATTCTATTTTAGTACAGTTAACTCACTTTGGGTCAAAAAGGGCTACATTGCTAAAACCTGTTTAATTTTTCATTTTGACTAAAAAGGATGTGTTCTATCTTTAAATAAAGCAAGCAGTCAGTGCCGTAGCTTCTGATTCAGCTGGCACGCAAACATCATAGGGACTTATAGCACCTGGTCAACAATCCTTCATTCCATTTTACTTGGAAAAAATACAACAGGGGCAGAAGGAATCCCTACATGTTGTTTTTTAAGAAGCACTAAATCCAGTACTTTGGAAATTAGATGCTATATAGAAGAAAAAAATGGACCAAATTCAACAGATCCCCATCAAGTTTAGAATCGTTATTCAGTACGGCAAGGTATGCCTTAAAGTCTGACTGAAAGACTTTTTTCATGTTGCAAATAAATTCATTACAAAATAGTGAGAATCATTATTTTTAATGTACTATCTGACCATTTAGACTACCTTCTGAGATTAAATGGAGTACTCAGCTGAATGTAGATAGTGCTTAAGTCTCTATATTAAAAACACTTTAGTAAAAACAAGAGACTAGGGAGCTGCATGTGGAAGCTATTGCTAGTGTCAGAATAGCAGAGAGACTTGGCAAAAGAAAGACCAAAGCAAAAAATGGCAAAACAAATACACAGTAGACTAAAAGATCATATTTTTTACAGCAGAACTGCCACACCCTGAGGAAGTTTCCATAAGCTGAAAAAGACAAATGGTGCCTATGCTTTTCTGCATCCAAGCCTCATTTGCAAGCACTAGCAGCATTTATGCTTTGCTGTATCCAGCTTACTCCCAACAGGAGATCCTAGTAGCTTAGATCCATACTTCACACACATCACAGGTCTCACAATCTGGGTCTCTCCCTGATTTGGGTTCATTTTTTTCCCACAGTAGACACAGATGCTGCTTAACAGAATCCATACCATGAAAGCAGACTAAAATGAATAAGCTTGACTAGTCTAAAAAGACAAAAGAAAAGAGATCTGAAGCAATCTGTTCTGCAAAAGAGATGGGAAACATACTAGGAGTAAGCATAACTACCAGGAAACAAAAAAGTGAAAATTACAGACTTGCAATGTCTTAGGGAGAGTTTTTTCTTAAAGTAGAGACAGTTTAATCTGAAGTTGCATTTCTAAATATAAGAAAGACTTGGTATTAACTTCAATATTCTCTTTTGGGTGACAATAAAGTACAGCAGGTGGGACACAATTTGAACTTCACATGCCTTTACTGAAGTTCTCCTCCTGCTCCTGCTTTCTGAAACAACCCGTTGTTCTACAGCTAAACCAGCTGCACTAGGCGTAGCTCAGGGCTGCTACCGCATGCTGCTCCGTGCAAATACAAATGGTCAATAATCAGCCTGCCTGCAGTTCAGCAAAGGGTGTGTATATCTTCTATGAGACAGAGGTCTTATTTTTACACGTGACAAGAGAAAAAGCGGCGTCTTGAGAAAGGACATCAGCGCCGATAGGGCGCTGGCTTTTCCAGCCCTGGGCAATAAGTCATTTCATCCACCACGGACACGCAGGAAAGCAGAAGTCACACCCCGCGACAGCCCGGCCGACCGGAGCGCACGGCCAGGCCAGGGCTGGGCCGGGCGTGCGAGGACCGGAGCGGCGCGGTGCGGTGCCCGCGAGCAGGGCAGGGGAGGGCAGGGGAGGGCAGGGCAGGGCAGGCCCGCTCCCCGGCTGGGCCCCGCCAGGCTGCCTCCCCCGCACAGCTGGGGCAAGCCCAGCACCGGGGCGAGAGGTGCGGCCGAGAACCCCTCGCCCCAGGGCGGCTGGGAGAGACTCTGCAGGAGGACGGCCCCGCGCCCCATCTCCGTCGCGTCGCGCCGCGCCGCGCCCCGCCACAGCATCGTCCTGTGCCCGCTCGGTGCCCGTGCCCGCCCCGCCATACCTGCCCGCCGCCGCCGCCACAGCCACCCAACCTGGCCCCGCGCCCGCCAAAGCCCCGCCCCATCCGCCCCTATTGGCGGCCCCGCCTCTCGGCTCGGCTCCCATTGGGCGAGCCCGCACGGGGGCGGGGCCGCTGCCCTGCCCGCCCTCTCCGCGTTAGCGGTGCTTCACCCTGGTAACGCGCGCCGCGGGTCACGTGACGGGCGGGGCGCGCGGGGTGGCTGTCAGCGGTTTCGGGGGTAAAAAACCAAAAACCAGCTACAAGTGTTTCACGAACGAACCTACCGCGCCCCACAGCACCGCACAGCCCGGCACCGCCGGTACGAGTCTGCCCAGGGACAGCCCCGGGGCAGGGTCCGTAGAGGGACGCGCGCCCCAGCGGAGCTGAGCGCAGCGCTCACCGGGGCGGGCCAGGCCGGACCTGCGGCTCCTCCGCTCCCGACCCCAAAGCGCCTTTATGACACCTACGGGCAAAGCCTCCAGATTCACAACGCACTTTCTCAGTCCGACTGCCTCGATCCATCACCTGGTTCGCACAGTTCTTAGCCTTGCACAAACGGACCAGCGGGCATTTTCCTTGGAAAAATAATCCACCCCTTTCCCTTTACCTGCCGCGCTTTTCTGGAACCTGCCTTCTGTCACTGTGTGCTAAACTAACCCTTCGCTGTCCTCAGCACCTCGGCTGGCAGAGCCGAGCAGTTCCGTGCCCAGCCCGACACCTGTGTTTCCTCTGCAGGTAAAACCCTTATGCTCTCGGGGCCCCGCAGCGCCTGGTGGTCTGGAATTCAGAGACGGTGGGTTCAGCCCGCAGCCGAACGACGCCGCGATGTGCCCAGCACCTCCCGCCCTCCTGTACCTGGGAAACCGCCTCCTCCCCCTTCTAAGCGCGAGGCTGTCCTGCCTCCCCCCGGGCGAGCCGCACCCCCGCACCCGAGCGCGGCCCGCGCCGCCGGGAAGCCGCGCCCCTCGGCGGGCGGGAGCGGGGCCGGCCCCGAGCCGGGCGGGCCGCGGGAAGCGGAACCAGCAGTGACGGCGGCGCTGACCCGCCGAGCGTGCGCCGTGCGAACCCCGCCCTGCCCGCGCCGAGGGGGCGGTGCCGGCGGCGGAGCGGCCGCGGCTCCGGGGCCGAGCCCGTGTCCCGCTGCCGCTCGGAGGGAGGATGAGCCAGCGCCTCCCCGGGGAGCAGCGGGCGGCGCCGCCTGCGCAGGTACGGGACGGGACGGGACGGGACGAGACGGGACGGGGGAGGGCAGGGGAGGGCAGGGCAGGGCAGGGCAGGGCGAGCTGGGCTCCCCCGCGGCGCGGGAGCGAGCGGGGCTGAGGCGGCGGGAGGAGGAGGATGGGGATGGGGAGGAGGGGAGCGGCTAGCCCGCAGCCTTCGCCCGCGGAGCGGCTGTTGCGCCCTCGCCAGCGAGATGGCTCCGTCTCGCAGTCGGGGGCGGGAAGGGAGAGACGTGGTGGTTCCCGGCGGACCCCTCTCCTGGTCCGCCCGCCTCCCCCGAGGGCCCGGGCAAGGGAGGAGTGCCCCGCGTGTTTACACGGCGTAAGCACGGCGTGCCACCCCATCCCCGCGTTACCGCTGGCAGCTCTCGTGCGCGCACGGAGAGCGAGGGGCTCTGCGGCTGGGAAGGTCCACGGTCTCCTCCCACGTAACCGGCGTTGGAAGGATTATTCCGCTCGAGTTGCGCGCTTTATGCTGGGTTACGGGTTTGGCTAGTAGGGCCGCTCTTACACAAGGGGTGAGATAATGGGCTCTCTCCTTGGAGCCTCTCAGTTAAATGAAAGTGCAGACCAGCGAGTTTAAAACTGAATATTGACTGCATTCTTTCATATTGTTTTCCCTAATTGTCCAAAATCTTTCCCTTCCCTATCCAAAAACGTGGGAATGGCTGTGAAACAAGTGTGTATCAATTCTCACCTAAAATGAACGTCTGAGAGTGTGACAGTGGAAAATTATGTGCTGATAGTGAACTATGTTCAGTGTAGCATGGTAAATTTGCTGTGTCACACTTAAAATACTAAACTAAATAGGGCCTTACAACCAAATAAAATGTTTCTGGTGCTAAACTATGTTAGAATAGATGCTTAAATACTTTTGGCAATGTATCAGTAACGGTAATCGTTTGGGTGTTAGGACTTGCACCTCCTCTTTGAGGTTGTGGGACCTCTGAAGTTTATGATGCAGAGTTTTGAAAGAAATTGTCAGGTGTATTTTGCTTTCAGATGCTTTTCTTTCTGATGGACCTGTGAAGGGTTTATATTCTGTATCCCTTAGCAACAGATGCTTCTTTGCAGATACAGCTATTAGAATGAAGGATGTGTTGGTATGACAGATTTGAAAACAGATAGTCCTCAATGCTGTTTCTCTATTTAAGAAAATGTCAATAAGTTGTAATGTAAAATTAAAAAAAAAAGTGCATTATAGGACACGTACCTTTGTGAAGTATAACAAATAAGTCCCTAGAGAACTCACCAGCTGCCACTATCATTTTTTCTAAGATGTCTTTCACTGACTGCCTTAAATTTGATGTCTTGTCTCTTTCGTTGGCAAGCAGATGTAAACTTACTTCGAAGTTGTCAAAATGGGAAGGAGTTCTGCTATGGGAAAACTGCAGGTAGCTTGAAACACAATGACTCTGCATCTGTCTGCAACAACTGTGAAAATAAAACTTATACAGTGTCCAGAAAAATGGAGCTTGTCTCTTGCTTGCTTCTGTTTAATATTGGTATGTCAGTCCTAAAATAGTAAATATCATTCACATGGTGTATTGTAATATTTCTAGAAACATGTTTTGCTGATTGTATGATTCCCAAGGCTGTCTTTGCCCAAATTTTTAGTGTCCTCTCTCTGTAGTTTTCTATGCTACTATTCTCCCTGTGGTTGCAAGTTAAAGTAATCCTAGGAAAAATACCTTCTCTCTCCTAATATTGATTTGTAATAAGAACAAGCCTATCCAAATTCTTGACTGGGAAAGACACTTGAAGCTATTGGTCTTTGCTCTTTGTGACTGCATCGCTCTGAACAACTTTATTTTATGAATTTGCCTGCATTTTTCTCATGACTATGTTTGTACTTCTTCTTGTACTCTCTTCCACACCAAACGTTTGTTGCAAACTGATGTTTAAGTGCAAGTGAGAACCCACTGTGCACTGGTTATTCTATGAACACATTGGTCTAGCCGTGTAATATATGTTCTTTTGTTCGCTGAATATACAGTTTGGCTCTGCCCCCCTCCACTTTGCTTTGGGGTCTCCATATGTGTGTATCTTACCTTGGTATTTGAACAGCAGAGTTGCATTCCTTGAGTGAAAGCTCTAAAGCTGGGACAACTGTTCCAAGTTCACAACCATTGCCAACAGGCATTCTAGGAACATTTGGATATTTTTTTCCTGCCTTTATTTAAGTGACTTCATACATGTGGATAGGTGTAACTGTGCAAATCAAGTTTTCAGGGTAAAGTCTTATAATAATTTGGCAGTAGGGATATTTTTAACTTGGTCATAATAAAAAAGTAGAATAGGAGCCCTGCTGCTGAAGAGATTTGTGCCAGAAGCGGTAGTACCAGTTTAAGTTCACTTCCTAATTCTCAGACTAGTTTGTGTGTTCCTAAATTTCTTGACAACAGCAGTAACCCAGTGACTTCCAAAGGTTGTCGGCAGTGGCAGTAATCATGTGCATGGAACTGCTTACATACCCTCCTTGCTTATTTTCCCAAAACTAAGATTTCAGTGTAACGCCTGTGAGCTTCAAGAGCGAGTTCCCAATTCTGTCCTCCTTGTGTCAGCCGTTCCCTTATGTCATAACCTAAAAGTGCAGGTTCTGTGTTGGCTGAGTTCTAAAGCTATTCAGGTGTCAGGCCAGCTTTGTACCTGTGCTCATGAACGAGGAGGCTCTGTGACAGAGTAATTCACACTTGTTTGTGTGCTGAGCTTGGAATATTAGAAAGTTGACAATTACAAACTTTTATAGTTGTTAAACTTGAAACTTGATTTTGAATTTTGGTAGCCTTTATAAAATCATCTGAGAGAATAATATCTAGAGAAAACAATACTCATTTAAATTGATTCTAATATGAAAGAGAGTTATAAACAGATAAAAGTTTGCTGGGACATGTACTTTGCTTTAAAAAGATAGAAACTGAAAAATGTAAATTGTTGAGGTAGTGGTTATACTTAATGATCTGATAATATCTGTTATTAGGGGAGAAGAGAGTTGACAAAGTAATTTCTAGGCTTCATGCATAATAGAAAGGATTCTAGACAAAGGTGTTAAAATGGTTGCAAATCTGTTTACATCTGGAGTATCCTTATCAGTTTGTATTATGTAGTAAGTAGTCTTGAATATATACTCCTGGAAATGAATGTAAAGAAGAGAATTCATAACTTCATAGTGGGTACCAGCAGTTATTTTTGATGACTTGCCGAGAGTCTAGTCAGCTGTTTTCTCCTTCAACTTTTTAGGCATTCAGCCGTTTTGTTTGTTAGGCATTTTCCTTAGGCTTTCTAGTTACAGGAGTAGACTATGCTTACTTTGGGAGGGTAAGGAGGAATAGTAAAGAAAAAAGTGAATTAAGTTCAGTCCTGAAGCACAGACCCTTTGATAAAAATAACCTTTGCTGTTACTTTTTCTTATGTTTGGCATATTTTGATAAATTTCTCTAAAAAGTTCAGAAAAGAGAAAATACTGAAATGTGCATTTTGCATGTTCATACTGCAATAAAGTATAATGAAGAAACATTTCCTAATTGTAATAGCAAAAATGGCATTTCACTTCAGTACTTTGTTTAAATTCCAAAAAGAGCTACTGAGGTGACTTAATACTTTGACATCCTGCCAGTTAAAATTCAACTACTGTTTCCTGAAAGAGAAGTTTGTGTTTGAGTTCCTTCTACTCTTATCTCCAAATTAGTGTTCTCTGCCAGATTTGTTGGATTTTGATGTTATCTGCAGTTTTTTTGCTGTTAATTTGTCTCATGCATGTGTTGGGAAAAAAAAATCAGTTCTCCCTACGTTTCCAAGACATTCATTTTCTCAGTTTGAAAATTTCCAAATAGGTATCTGTAGGAAAGGAACCTGAAGTTTTCTTTAATTGTTATTTGACTTTTTGCTGCTTGTCTTGCAGAAAACTTTTATTCTCATGTAAAAAACTACACGAATATGTAAACACTTTAAATTATTATCAGTCTTATAGACTTTTCTTCTGTTTTGTGCTGAGACGTGAATATTCTTCTAACTTATTTAGTAAAGCTTTTAAGACAGTTGAGGAGACCTAACAATCTGTGTACTGAGTACATATGTTGTTACCCCTGTTACAAAATTGTCAATGTTTATTCCTCTTTAACAAATTTTAAAAAATGTTTTGGTTCTTTGGATGAGTAGAGGATGGATTATTTTTAACGAATTTTATCTATGAAATAGATAAAATAGTCAGTGAACTGACCTAATCTCCGTGGTTATATAACACTTTTAAGATAACTGACCTTCTTGTTTACTCTGTTAGCTAGAAGCCTTTTAGTAAACTATTGGTGATTTTTTTTCATGTTGTTGTAATATTAAAAATCTTACATGAACACGATTTCTTTTTTTCTTGTAAAATACCCACCTTGAGTCTTGCTTTCAACTTGATACCACTGTTGAACAGTAAATTTCCCCCTGGACTCTCCTACCAGAAACTTGCCTACCATTTGTAGACCCTGACAAAGTACATGTAATTTTAGAAGCTGCCCTTGCCAACCACTCAAGTAGGTTTTACAGCTGGAGAGAAGAATATTCAAGTGAGGGGAACTTGCTGTGCATTCAGAACTGCTAGCACACTTGATTTACTAAATACTTTGCTTTTGGTGGTGTTATGCATCTAGGGCTTCGCTGCCTTTTGATTTTTTTTAATCTCCTTTGGATAGAATATTGTGTATATTGAAAAGCAGAAACAATCTATTAACAATCTGTTTATTAACATCAGAGGTTCACAGGTCTCTCTGAAGAGATTTATATGTTTATATATTTATTTAATCTTTAAAAATGACCAGAATGGCAACCAGTGATGGTTGGATGTGCTGTTTTTACAAAAATGAGGTGGCATCTGTGTAGGCCAGCCAAGAAGGTTAGCCATGAACCAGATCCAGGTGATGATCACTTCAGTCCTTCCTCACCTTGCTGTCTTAACACTGTTGCTTGAGAGGATCCAGAGCAAGAAAAAGAGCAACCCTG